GCAGGAATGAAAAACATATTTTAATGCGGTTACTTTACTCTGCAATCATTCAGTATGCTGTCCTCTTCAAAGACACATAACTAACCAGTGAGAATGTTTATCTGGTACTCCTAATATGCCAGCTACACTGTCCTGAAACAGAAATCACTAATTCTGCGTATATTTGTATTTTTCCAATGTTTTATGATGATATATATAAAATACTGCAAAGAACAAATAACTGAAAATAGTAATTGGTTTTGAAACCCAAAATACTTCTTAAAATCATCAATTTCTAAGGATTCAGCCATGGCCACAATTTTCTTTTAAAATAGGAAAATGAACTGTTTAAAACAATAGTTTACTGGATAAATATCTTCCAAAATTAGTTAAGTTATTTTTGGTTACACTAACAAGACAGAAAGTCTTGTATGCCACTTGTAAATTAATATACAGTAATTAATGATAACATAAGAGTCATTTCTCTTGTTATAACAAATGAAAGTAAAGAGTCCATTTTTGTCAATTCCTAATTATCATAGGCTTCTATGGAAAGATTCTCTTGAGTTTGTGGCTTTAAGGTTTATTGTTTTCATTTCAGTATAGGACAGTTCAAAACAGATATTGGCTTGTTCCAAAGGCTATTTTATCATTACTTACAATTTTTTTTCCAAACAGAATGTCAAATTTCGATCAGTTTCACTTGGACTTTTACCACTCCAATTATACCATAGATGACCAGGAAGAAGGTTACAACAGTTATGGGTCTAAGGAAAACCTCGGTGGAAGCAGAAAGTAAGTATGGTATCAAAAAAAAAAAAAAAAAAAAAAAAAGGGGGAAAAGGTAATATAGTGATATATCTCAAAATTCAGATGAAGTTGTGGTGGAGAAATACAAGCCATAGCTGTAGAAAGACAGGAAAAATATTCTTTCTTTTCATATATTTTTTAAACCTATTGGTGACTTCTGTCTACGGAAAAGGGACACAGAGGGAAAGAAGTTCTCAGAGTTTCCCCTTGAGGACATTTTTGACATGACTGCAGTAGGAGGCTGCGTGTTGCTGCAGCTTTCCTGCTCAGCAGCTGATGGATCTGGCTGGCTTTGGGGCTTGCAGGAGCAGGAGAGAGCTTCAGGAGATCATCTCGACTTTCCCCAAGGCAGAATTATTAAGAATTACACCTTTCTTTATAAAGGAGTGGGTTCCATGCCAGTTTTTTTACTTGGAGATGTTACAGGTTGTTTACCTAATTGGAGTGACCAACCTTCATGTTATTAATGTGGATTTGGGGGCACGTATTGCTAGAAATTCTCTAAGGTCTTTCTCAGATTCAAGAAAAAAAGTATTATCTAAAGATATGGCTCTTTCAGTAGTGGTATGGACATATCTGACCAAAGTCACCAGGCTGCTTGCTGGAAAAGCCAGGAGTGCCTAAATTTGTGGGTACCCTCAGAGCTCCCTCTCCCCCAGCCTGGGGACTTGTGCTGCTCCATTGCCAGAGGGGGATGGGCACAGAAGTGGGTGTGATGGGTTCCAGGTGCTGGTGGGCCGGCAAGGAGCCCTGCTGTGTCAGAGGGGGTTGCAGTGAAGGGAGGCAAAGCCCTTGTCAGCAACTCATTGTTCACTACACACAAAGGATACTGTGGCCAGAAAATTTCCAGGTTCCCCAAACTGATAATTGGTGAAAAATTAAACCGTGGTACGTGGTGAGCAGCTCTAAGCTGTTGTGAAGTTGCTCATTGCTGTTACTTTGAATCACAGAATAGTTTGGGTTGGAAGGGACCTTTAAAGGTCATCTAGTCCAATGGCCCTGCAATGCGCAGAGACTTCTTCAACTCGATCAGGTTGCTCAGAGCCCTGTCCAACCTGACCTTGAATGTTTCCAGGGATGGGGCATCTGCAACCTCTCTGGGTAACATGTTCCAGTGTTTCATCACCCTCGTAAAAAAATGCATTCCTAATATCTGATTTAAATCTATCTTCTTTCACTTTAAAGATATCAGCCCTCATCCTACCACTACACTCCCTGATAAAGAGTCCCTCCCCATCTTTCCTGTAGGCCCCCTTTAGGTACTGGAAGGCCAGTATAAGGTCTCCCTGGAGCCTTCTCTTCTCCAGGCTGAACAGCCCCGACTCTCTCAGCCTGTCTTCATAGGAGAGGTGCTCCAGCCCTCTGATCATCTTCCTGGGCCTCCTCTGGACTCGCTCCAACAGCCCTATGTCTTTCCTGTGCTGAGGGCTTGTTTTGCTGTGATTTGCTTCTCATCCCAGGAGCCAGACAGGAGACCAACCTCCAGCCAGTACTTTTGCCCCATCGGAAATGCTTCTGTCCTCTCAGAGCTACACGGGTCAGATTTTGCAGCCCACATACAGTCCCGACCCTCATCTTGGTTACACTGATGGATTTGATGAAGAACCTCCTTTGCTAGAAGGTAAAATAAAACCATGCACAATGTACGTGGTTCCTGGGGGTGTCTATACTTTTCTTTACCAGCTTGTGGCCATCACTAGAGAAACAGCAGCCGAGCTGCCAAGCTGTGTGCCAAGCTGCTGTGCCAGCTTCAGCCAACAGCCCCTGGACCCCAAACCTGTATTTTCCTATTTGAATTTGCCATGGAGTCATTCAGCCTTACGGCCCGTATAGCATATGCTTTATTACCACTAGATGACAGCATAACAATAAGTTTTGCATTCACTTTTCCAAATTTTTTTTTCCGCTCTGTGTTTATCCTGCATACATATTGGGACATTTATAATTAATAAATACTGATAAAAATCCTTTTTGCATATCTAGCCATAAATTTAACAGTTTGAAGATGCTAAAGAGCGTGTTTCAGTGGGAAAGAAATTGAGAAATCTGCTTTCAGCTTCAATTTGTTGATCACTTGACTACATGAACAATATCTTTCTTTATGATGATTGAACCATCCTCATGCTAGTGGCTGAGTTTGTAGTTTACGAAATACTTGTGCTACATTAAAAAAAAAAAAAAGAAGAAGAATTTCTTTGTCATTATTTCAGCATAATGTAAAAAGAGCATATTCAGCCTGCTTTTGTATACAGGAAGGCAAATGGATTTCTCACTACTTCAAAGATATTCCTACTGCCTGAAAAACAGCAAGATCACTCTATTTGATAGAGATAACTGCTAGATCTTTACCTCGCAGACCTCCGAGCATTTAACTCCACAGGCAGCCCACCCTGTGAAAAGGATGTTGAAATACAGCTGCTTCTGATCCTCAGGGCTTCAGAGATGTTCATATCTGTGTACCAAATAAATTCGGCCAAAGACACACATTTTAATACAGAACAACTTTATGTAATGTTTAGGCTCAGCTCAAGGTGATGGATCGGTGGGATAAGGTAAAGACTTGGCTTTCCAAAGAGATCTAACACATCGTCAGTCTCAGTAATTCTGGCACCCAGTTCTGAAGTTTAACTTTTCCCTTGCTGGAGCATCTCAGGGAACAGGATTACTCTTTGCAAGCTGAAGTTACAAGAGAAATCTTTGCCCCAGTAAAGTTAATGGCAGAATTCCCATCGACTTTAATGGGGAAGAATTTTGTTCTGTTTCTAGGGGTCCTCAGTAATTACTTTATAAACACAAACAAAGCTTATAAAGCCCTGCATAAATTATTATTAACTTGCCTTGAAGCGAAGAATGTCATTTTTAAGTGCCTCTGGCAGTTCAGGCTGAAGACACATCTCTTGTCAGATTTGCCAGAATTAAAGCATATATCTCTGTCCTCAGTGTTCTAGAGCATCTTGAATTCTGCAGTTACTGTTAATTAGCATATTTTTCAACATCTAAGTTAGTGTGGCATTAGATATATGTGTTTTAAATATAGAAAAAACAAATATTAACTCAAAAATGCTGAGGGCATTTTCTTGGTTCACTGCCTACAATTGGATTAATAAATTAATATTCCAATTTAGAATCAGAGCTGACTCTCAAATACACTGGGTACGTAGCAGGGACAGCGTGTTCCTGCTACAGAATACGTCATCCTAGAATAATATCTTCACTAAGCCAATTAATTTGGTTTGGGTTTTGCGGGAGCTAATGGTTTTCTGTAAAAGTGTTGGGTTTTAGTGAGCAATTAACAATCCTGGAATTTCTTGTTGCAGAACTCGGGATCAATTTTGAGCATATATGGCAAAAAACGTTAACAGTTCTAAATCCAATGAAGCCTGCAGATGGCAGCATTATGAATGAGACAGACCTCACCGGACCTATGGTTTTCTGTTTGGCCCTTGGAGCAACGTTGCTGCTGGTAGGATGTGGCAGATATCTTGGGAGCTTTCTTTTCTAACAAGATAATGCCTAGGTGCTAATGCGTGTGAAGTTGCAGAAGATGTAGCACTGACATAAATTGAGTCGTTTGCGGCCATTTGTTCTGAGATTATATATTAAAAAGTCTCCTTGCTGTGAAAGTACCTGCATAAAGTTTAAATGTAATATAGATGTAATATGGGTGAAGTGATGTATTACTTCTAGTGGAAATAAAAGACCACACCGGTTTTTGGGATGAGATTTAATAGGAACAAAGGATAGATCTGTGCAGTGTGTATCCTGGGGAGGCTCTGAGCACCCAAAGCATAGCAGTGTGCGCTGGGTAAGGACCTAACAAGGAGGTTTTAAAGGAGGGAATAAAAAGGCACAGCAGACCAGCCCAGTTTTTCTGACACTCTTGTTACTGTTTTGAAATTATCTTCTCTCAGTGTTACTTTGGGGAGTACAAAGATATAAAAAAAAAAAATTATCTTTACATAACTAAAATAATTTGAAAAAGGAAGTCCCTCCTGCCTCAAAACTGCAATACCTTCCTATTAATTTTGCTAGTGCTTTCTTAGTTTATATTTGTTTTCTACATCATCTGCTAAACAAAATATAGTAGCCGGTGTTGAACCGCTTTCCTCTTTATGAATATAGCTTTCCTACAGGAGGAAAGTTGAAGAGGGGTTGTATGCTACTCCTAAATTCACCTATTTATCACTGACAACAGGGGCTCTCCAGTGCTGCTGAAGTACAGCTCTGATTGTCGGCAGCAATTTATCAGTCAGGGATAAGGTGGGACCATTCTGGGAAGGGCTTTACTGCTCTAGCAACTGAGGTGAGAGAAACGGGGCTCTAATTCTCCATTTCCTCTCTGATAAATAGTGCTGAATCAGAAGACTCTTGCAAGTTCTTACTCAATTTGTAATGTCAGTGCAGTACCTTGAATGTGCAAACTGCAATATAAATGGCAAGTCTTATTATTATTTATGTCCCTATAAAAATAAAAATCCTTTCAAAGGGCGGAAGCAGCAGGAGGAAAGGGAATAAATATAAGAGAAAGTGGGAAGCTAGAGAAGATGGGCTATTTTCCACCTAAAGCAATAAGGCATGAGGGGAATAAAAGGAGAAAGTATTGAATTGATTATAATCAGGCAAGTGGACGGAAAGCTAAAAAAAAAGAATAAAAAAAAAAAAGTTGCTGTTGATTTTTCTCCCTGGATAGCCAACAATTATAATGAATATTAAACTACTATTATTGAAATAGACTACTTCAATTACTGTATTTATTCTAGGATATTAAGCATTTTAAATATCATTAGAAAACCAACTATTTTCAATGCTCCAGTTTTAGGTCAGCAGAACTTCTCTGATACAATCTAGTGGTTTTGTGCCACAGCTTCACAGCAATAAGTGTATGGGATTTCCATGGGCCATCTTATATATTCAGGCTGCTCATTTTATCTCAGATGCATTTGAATACTAAAGTGGCTCTTCAGCTGTGTAAGCTATGATATCCTTCTGTACTTGAATAATTCTCTTCTAATAGCACCAGGAATATAATTTGGTTGAGAACTTGTTTCCAAAAATAATTTATAAATTTTATTTAGTTTCAGCTTTTTAACTATGGAAAAATATGCAAAGATATTCTTCAAATGGTAGCAGTTCTTTCAGAGCACAGAGAGGAAGAGGAAAGGCTTGTTAGCCTGGCAGCAGGACTTGATCTCCCTCACACTGGCGTAAAACAGGGCAGCTCCATTGCAGGTAGAGAAGCAAGAGCAGTGCGAAAATCAGCAGAAGCCTGAGTCTCAGCTGCCTTGCTTTGCTTTTTCGTAGTCATTTGCACGAAATCAGACTTCCCCATCCACTTAAACTAAGGATAGTAATACCCACTCGAGGCAGATGCAAACCAGCGCACAAAGTCTGACTTTCTTCTAACCTTGTTCCTTCCGCAGGACAAATTTAGCTCTTTCCATTCATCAAAGCCTGCCAGACTAATCAAGCCTGATTCTGGTTTTGCTTACATCACTGTGAATTGGGAGTATTCCCATGTGTGTGAGTCAATATATTTACATATATGAAGATAGACTAGAATTGGAACCAACATGTTCAGCTGCTTTTTTTTTTTTTGTTTTCCCCTCTCTCATTCTCCTGCACTACAAATCAAACACTTCACCAAGTGGAGATTTCAGTTAGCTGCTAGTGCTCCCTTCAGCTCTGGCTCAGTAATTTCTTAATCTTAAACTAAGCTGCTAAATAGTGCTATGTGGCATAATTAAACACACTGAAACAAACAGACTAAAAGCTTGTAGTTGTTAAGCTCTGTCTCAAACAGATTCAATTTCTTAGCTGGTCTGTAGTAAAGGCTGCTCCAAACCATTGCGGATGTTAAACTTACTAAGAATGTTTAATGAGTGAAATTGTAATTGATAATAATCTGAGCTAGTATTGCCCTCCCACGCTGTCTCTAGCTATCCTTAATTTTATTTGGTGAAGCAATTTTTCCTTATTATTTTGTAGCAGTAGTATGCACATGCCAGCAAAGGACTCTGTATCTAAATAGGAAGACTTCTTACACTGTTAGTTCAGGAGTGGAGTATTCCTTTACGGCGGAATGCAGAGGTGGGGAAAAGGCCGACACTCGGGGTGTTGGGTTGGGTATGGGCAACCTCGCTGTACCCAACCCAACCTTGAGGACTGGAACCAGGGGATAGCTCAGCAGCAAGCCAGGTCGAGCTGAAAACAGAATAACGGTGCTGATGTAGAGGCAGGTCTTATTAACTGCGGCTGCCTTTCACACAAGCACGCGCTGCTCTCCAGCTGGAGCTGGTGAGCTGTCAGAATCTGCCACATTAGGACATTCAGGTTGTGTTGCCTCTAGAATAGGCTCTTTCCACTGTGTTGCTTCATATCTGCCCAGCTCAAATACTGCTGGCATCCAACAACCAGTTTCTACCCAAATGGATACAGGAAGCGGAGAAGCAGAGTCCTCCGGGATAGTTGGTTTCCCACAGGTTTTGTTAAAATGTATGGATGAGTAAAGTAGGAGATCTTCTCAATCCTTCCTAACCATCGTGGAAGAGATACTTGTAAATATCGCAAACCATGAAAAAAAGCTTCGATAATATTTCCACCTTATCCATCACAATAGAATCCAACCATAAGCTCAAAAATTATTAGAAAACGGGGACCCTCTATTGGTTTTGATTCTCATGTGGTTTATCATATGCAAAATATAGTGTGTGCAATATAAAGATGTGTGTATGCACAAACATCCCTGTGGTTTAAGTATGTATTTGTGTATTGTTAAGTGTTAGGAAGGTGATACAGTGTGGCCCTTAATTTGGGAAGTTTATTCCACAACCCTCAGTTAAGGGTTGAGTCCCAGGTTTGAGCTTTCTCCTTCACAAAGGTATGTTATCTTTAGGATACAAAATTTCAACACAAAGCAAAGAAAACCATCTTCATCCCAATAACTGTTTATTTCTGATCTACAAATGTTTATTTCTGACATACAGATGTGAAAATGACAGTATTGCATAGTGAACATGCAGTATTTCATTTGTTAGAAGACTGAATAGAGAGAAACAGTATTTAACAGTCTTTTGTGAGTGTTCATTTTTGGGACTGAACAATGCCCTCATGCCTGGAGGCGATCCTTCAAAAATGATGGCAGGAGATGAAGAAACCAGTAGTGCTGTGGCCACTGTTGCCTGTTGTCTAGCTTTGTGTATAAATTAGAAAACATCAGGCTCCAGGCTGTCAGGCTGTACCTTTCACAGGGACTAAATTCACACAAAGGAATAAAACCTGGAAGAAAAAAAACACCTGGGGTTTTTTTTCATTCGTTGGAACAAAAAAAGAACACAAGCTGACAGTGACTACTACGGTTTATGTTGAAATGAACATGTTGTATTGATCTAGCTACAGAGATGTGGTTTTCTTGTGGTAGTCAAGGGAAAGAATGGACACATTCATCCTGAACACACACAAAATTTCAGCAAAATTTTACTTATTTTTTGCAGGCCTGCTTAAAGCTGGAGTTTGGTAATAAAATGTGAAGCATATCAAATAAGTGGGGTCATCATTTTACTTAGGACACTTTTTCACGGCCCCATGTACACCTATTTGGAACGTTTTTCCTGACACCAAAATGTGCTTTCCATAATTTCTTCTCAGTTTGTAACCACTTAGACCTTCCCAAGTCTCCCCGGCCAATTCCTGTCCTGTTCAGAGCCCAATGACAGTAAGATTGAGAATCAGCCTTATAACTTTAAATTAGTGACAAGCACATTCTCACAATTGTACCTTGGAATTTTTTGCTGCAAAAATCACCCAAGAAGTATCAGCTGTGGTTTACAACGGAACTGATGTAGGCGAAGAAAAAGTAACAAACCTGGTGCTTGCCCTCTGTCTTCTCCCACCACTTGCTCACTTCTGATGTTTCATGCTTACTCATATTTATTCCAGGCAGGAAAAGTTCATTTTGGCTATGTGTATGGCATGAGCACCATCGGATGCCTCGCTATGCATGCCCTACTGAACTTGATGAGCGTCCCGGGAGTCTCGCATGGCTGCGTTGCAAGTGTCTTGGGCTATTGCCTGCTGCCCATGGTGATCCTCTCCTCTTCTGCAGTCATCTTTTCGCTACAGTAAGTACCAGCCTGTGACAACAGGAATCGTATGGAGGACAAGAACGTGAAGCCTGGTGTTATGCAAAACATTTTGTAAATGGTTACATAGTGGATTTCAGAAAAAACACCATTTTGTTTGTGTGTGTAGGTGGAAATGGACAAAACTGGACTGTGTTTGAGAAGGGTGATATATATTCATTTTAATACGAGTCCTTAATTCCACTGTTTCCCACTTGGACTGAGAGTGCCTTTGATGTTTTCAGCAGCCTCGGATGTGATTTTCGTTTTGCAGAGCCAGCAGTGGCCAAACTCAACTGTCAATTTTAAAAGCGACTGCCGGGCTTTGGTTTTATATAGCTGCTTCTCCTGTTCCTTTTTTGTTCATAGTATCATGCTCCCATCCTTTACTTCTGTAGACCTTTACTTCCTTTACTTCTGTAGACCGACTTCTGTGTGATAGAATGGAATAATCAAGCAACCCTTAATGATTTGGAGCATTAGAACAAGTGTTTGAAATGTAATAGAGTCATATACTCTGAGGTATAGTTGTGGTGTAATTGCAAACCTGAAAATAACTGAAAACTTTGAAAAGCCAAATGCGTGGCAGCATATGTATCTGTGCGTGTCTGTGTGGATGTTCAGTAATATGTCTATGAATAGGAAATTTGTATGCAAGCCTCTCCTTCCCCCTCATTCGATAACCCTTTGGAGGTACAAACTGTGTTTACCTCGCTGTTCACATACGGCAAAGTACAAGGAAGCTCCAGGTCTTGCCTGAAGGCCTTGAGCAGTACTTTTATCACATTATTCATAATGGTTCTCCTCCTTAGTCTTTGTTGTTCACTCACTTTTTTGACTCTCCAATCTGTAACATTTGGGACTTGGCAGCCGATGTATAAGAAAGTGCCCGTTTCTTTTTTTTGGGAAAGCATCAATTTTGTATGTGTATATATTATTTGTTAAGGAAATTATATAGTGGGATGAAGATTTCAGCACAATTCTTGTTGCATGTTTCTGTGGAGCTATGATGGGTTAACCTGACTATATTCCATGTATTAAAATGTTTCTGAGCTGTCCTTGATGAGATGAACAGTAGTGACACTGAAGAAACCATTTATTGTCTGTTCTCCTATACTTCCCATATTTTCTTGATTAACCTGTTTAATAACCCACCTTAATAAGAGGTGCAGATACATGATTGTAGGACAGACAGGATGAGCTCCAAACCAGCTGTTGCAACTGCACAGGGTGCTGCAAGGCATCCCCAAGCACACACCGCACCTTTGTGAAATGATGCAAATTTACAGAAAACACATCTTTTGAAAATCTATAAATACTATACTGTGATAGCCATTACAAAATTAAACCATTATTTCTGAAATCATAGAATCATAGAATTGTCTGGCTTGGAAGGGACCTTTAAGATCACCAAGTCCAACCATCAATGTAACACTGCCAAAACCACCACTAAACCATGTCCCTAAGCACCACGTCTTTTAAATACCTCCAGGGATGGCGATTCCACCACTTCCCTGGGCAGCCTGTTCCAATGCTTGACAACTGTTTCTGTGAAGAATTTGTTCCTCATACCCATCCTAAACCTCCCATGGCACAACTTGAGGTTGTTTCCTCTTGTCCTATCACTTGTTCCTTGGGAGAAGAGACCAATCCCCACCTTACTACAACCTCCTTTCAGGTAGTTATAGACAGTGATAAGGACTCCCCTCAGCCTCCTTTTCTCCAGGCTAAACAACCCCAGTTTCCTCAGCCACTCCTCATACGACGTGTGCTCCAGACCCCTCACCAGCTTTTTTGTCCTTCTCTGGACACCCTCCAGCACCTCAATGTCTTTCTTGTAGTGAGGGGCCCAAAACTGGACACAGTACTCAAGGTGGGGCCTCAGCAGTGCCCAGTACAGGGGGACAATCACTTCCCTAGTCCTGCTCAGCACACTATTCCTGATGCAGGCCAGGATTCTGTTGGCCACCTTGGCCAACTGGGCACACTGCTGGCCAGCTGTCAACCAACACCCCAAGTCCTTTTCTGCCGGGCAGCTTTCCAGCTGCTCCCCAAGCCTGTAGCACTGCATGGGGTTGTTGTGACCCAAGTGCAGGACCCAGCACTTGGCCTTGTTGAACCTCATACCACTGGCCTCGGCCCATTGATTCAGCCTGTCCAGATCCCTCTGTAGAACCTTCTTACCCTCAAGCAGGGCAACACTCCCACCCAACTTGGTGTCATCTGCAAACTTACTGAGGGTGCACTTGATCACCTCATCCAGGTTGTTAAAGATACTAAAGACAACCGGCCCTAGTACTGAGCCCTGGGGAACACTACTTGTGACCAGTAGGCAATTGGATTTACCTTCATTCACCACCACTCTCTGGGCACGGCCATCCAACCAGTTTTTCACCCAGCAAAGCGTACGCCCATTCAAGCCATGAGCAGACAGTTTCTCCAGGAGAATGCTGTGGGGAACCATGTTGAAGGCTTTACTGAAGTCCAGGTAGACAATATCCACCTTCCCTTTCCCTCATCCACTAAGTGGGTCACCTTGTCATAGAAGGCAATTAGGTTAGTCAAGCAGGACCTGCCTTTCATGAACCCATGCTGACTGGGCCTGATCACCTGGTTGTCCTCCATGTGCCATGTAATGGCACTCAAGATGATCTGCTCCATAACCTTACCTAGCACCATGATCAGACTGACAGGCCTGTAGTTCCCCAGATCCTCCTTCTGGCCCTTCTTGTGGACGGGCATCACATTTGCTAATTTCTGGTCAACTGCAACCTCCCTGTTGACACACTCAACACACTCCAGGAACCTCCTAGACTGTTCCCTCTCAGCTGTATTGTATTTCCAGCAGATATCTGGTAAGTTAAAATTCCCCATGAGGACACGGGCTAGCAGTCTTGAGACTTCTGCCAGCTGCTTACAGAATATTTTATGTCTCTTCATCCTGGTTGGGTAGTCTATAACAGACTTCCACAGTGATATCTGCTTTGTTGGCCTTTCCCCTGATTCTTAGCCGTAAACGCTCAACCATATTGTCACCATCATTAAGTTCAAGAGAATCATAACGCTCCCTAACACACAGGGCCACTCCACCAATAGCGTTAAGTGCCTGTCTGCAGGATTCTGCAGTCCTTTCTCATTCACTTTATAAAACTGCTTGAACACAGCAAGTACTAACGTTAACTACTCCAAACATGCTATTAAAATTGTGTCAACTTTTAAATCCAACATACATTTCATTATTTTTATTTTAAAAACTCATTTAAAATGGTGAAAATACATTCCTGATTTTAAAAAATATTTTTATTATTGCTGTCTATTTCAAAGTGCAAAGAACTAACTTCAATGTTTGTTTTCACAGAAACTGTATGTAAGATAATGCACACATCTATTGCAAAGCTATATACTAATCCAACAATTTTCAGTTTTCATGATTAGCTATTTCACTGTAACTGAATACAGCATAGTAGGGAACATTTTGAGTGCTAAATAGTACCAAAGAGAAAACCAGTTCTCTTATGCAAACTTTAATTTTGCCCATCTATGCTGATATCATGTCTGAGCCCAAATTGATTAGGTCTCCTTTTGGGGAGAAACTTAGCAGACTTTTATCCTCAAAAAAACAATAACAATTCTTTACTATCAAATCTCTGAAGACAGTGGTCAAGCCATTTCCTTGACTAAACGAGGGCAATGTGTGTAAGCACGGAGAAAGGAATTCTTAGACCCAGCTGATGCAAAGGACCTATTTGGTGACTGCATCTGCAGGTTGTGAGAGGAGCGGAGAAGGTTCACTCAGGTCTGTCCCCCCAACTCAATCTCATGAAAGTATACCCCCAGTCCTCTTCAACACCGTGAGCATGAAATCTGCGTTTTGCCCCTCTGCCATGCTTGAGGATTTGGCCCTCATGGACACACCAGGCACAAGCTCTCTGCTAAAACTAAACCACTGCTTTTGGCAGTATCTGGCTGTTAGATCAAGGACGGAATTTTTAAGTGCACAGAAGTGTCTCTTGGCTCCAATATGATTTTATGTCACCTTTCCATCCTGCTCACTGCCAGTCCTGGAACAAACCATGAGAGGCCGTTGGACTTCAGTGCAAGGCAGAAGAGCCACAGCTCTAAATTGTACTACCTTGTGATAGCCCCCTAAAAAGTCATTATACTAGCTGAAAATTCTCATCGTGCAGTACATTCCTGTTATGTCCCATCCCTCTGCCAGTATGGATACCTGCTCAAAGAGCCATCCATACCAGCTCTGAATTTCTGGCTAGCTGTTTAAGTGAGCGTCTTAGCATCACCACTTGGAGCAGAGGCAAGGACTTTGGTTGACAGAGCCCAGTGTAATTTCCCTGAATGCCACTGTATAGGTTTAAAGATAAGTTAAACTGAGGATATTAAATCACATAGTCTTTAATGTTTTATTTTTAATGCATTGAAGTTGCAATGAGGTGCTGAGTCACCTTAAAATCAATTCTCTCCTTCCTCCCCCAACATCCCAAGAGCTAACACCACCAAGTACCTTATTGGCCTGGAGTCTGGGTTGCCAAGACATTAACTATTTTATGTGATGTGATTGTATTAAATAAACTAAGTCAAGTAAATAAGGAGAGCTTTACTCATCGTGGTTTAATTCAACAATAATATTAGTGGAGATCATTTCTGATAAATGGACCTAAGTAAGTATATACAGTCTGTTTCTCACTTCTGTTTCTGGTTTTGCTGGTACTTTGGAAAAGTGGGGCACCAGGAAATCCTTTAGAAAGTGGCAGAGGTTCATTCATTCTCCACGTCCTTGAGACCGACACAGCGAAAGTGTGTAACGCAGCCGATCTCATTATGTACTTCTGCAGCGTATTACGTGCATGATCTCATGCATTTTACAAAAGGAGGCTGCAAAAATGGAGTGCAAATAAAGCATATGTGAAACATTATTTATTGGCAAGATTTTGTTCCTACAAGGTTTAATAGTGAGCTCTCTGCAATCTGCAGGAATATTTCAGTGGGTTCTTGACCATAGTGCCGTAATCATCAGTTCTCCAGGCTACCCTGGGCCTGAGAGGTGGCAGAATGTACCTTCAGAAGGGCTCAGCTGTCAGCAAGGGACAGTGTGGAAAGCCACCATCCTTTCAGTGTGCAGAGAAGGATGCCAGGATGAGCATAGTATTTTTTTCTGTGTGGATCTTTTCCATCCCTTACTTTCTATTCAGTGTGCACCCATTCTTAAAAGACCAGTTGAACTTTCTCCTGGGAGGCAGTCAACACCTTTCTGCATGGTCAGCTGCCAAGTAATTCTTGAAGATCCTCATTGCCTCTCCTTAGAGTCCAAGGTACACTTAAAACCTGTGCCATGTGTTACAAAAATGCAGCCTCTCCAGGTCATCGGGCTGCCTGATGAAAGATTAGGTCTGTAGCATCATTATAGATCCTAACAACTTCTACAAGATGATTGTGGCTGCAATAGGATCTTTGCTAACTTTAAAATTAAACTGCATCTGCTGCATCTGCTGGAGCCCCAGGTTTACTTGGAAATGCACTTGACTTTTTAGCAGTATTACTGATGAAGCTGCTGCTTTTACCCAAACTGAAGAAATTACCTTTTTCTTTCCTGTTACTATTTTAGTTTGTTTCTCAGGCTTGACTTTCATTATGTTGGTCAGTCCTTGGTTCTTCCAGTGACTGTTACCTTATCAATAACAAGTTGCTAGACATGAACTTGAATTGATAAGATTTAATGCTACGTTTACTAACAAGTGGATTCTGTCGTGTTTCTTTTGTTTTTTCTCCTAGGGGGATCCTGGGAACTTTGTTAGCTCTGTTTATTATTGGATGGTGCAGTTTCTCAGCCTCCAAAATTTTCACCTCTGCATTGGCTATGGAAGGACAGCAGCTTCTTATTGCGTACCCATGTGCTTTACTATATGGACTTTTTGCACTTCTAACGGTTTTCTGAGATGTATTTTCTGGTAACCTTATTACAGTCTGTTTGTGGTTGTTGGAGGGTCAAGGGGTTATTTACTTATTTTTAGATTACCTAGAGTTGCATTATATTCCATTAACAAAATTAGGTTATATGACTTACCTTTTATTTGCCTAATAGCTGTTAATGAAATAAAAAAGCAAGCTAACAGGTAGATGATTGCAATAATGGTGTTTTGAAAGTCTTACAGCTTAAATAAAAACATTTGTATTGAGAAGGGAGTAAAAGTGAAAAAATACAAAATAAATGATATTCAATAAAATATTTTCTGAGTGTTTAATATTTGGTACATATACTAGAGAGTTACTGGAAAGCAATAATGTAAATATTTAATAGACCTAGTTGTTGTGGTTTAACCCCAGCCGGCAACTAGGACCACACAGCTGCTTGCTCACTCCCCCCAGCTGGGATGGGGGAAAGAATCGGAAGAATAAAAATGACAGAATTCGTGGGTTGAGATAAAGACAGTTTAGTAAGTAAAGCAAAAACCACGCACACAAGCAAAGCAAAACAAGGAATTCATTCCCTGCTTCCCATGGGCAGGCAGGTGCTCAGCCATCTCCAGGACAGCAGGGCTCCATCACGCGTAATGGTTACTGGGGAAGACAAACACCATCACTCCAAACATCCCCCTCCCTTCCTTCTTCTTCCCCCAGCTTTATGTGCTGAGCATGATGTCACATGGCATGGACTATCCCTTAGGTCAGTTGGGGTCAGCTGTCCCGGCTGTGTTACCTCCTATCTTCTTGTGCCCTCCCAGCCTGCTCGCTGGCGCGGCGGTGTGAGGAGCAGAAAAGGCCTTGAGAACTTTGCAACAACCAAAACCATCAGTGGGCTACCAACACTATTCTCATCCATACCCAAAACACAGCACTACACCAGCTGCTAGGAAGAAAGTTAACTCCACCCCAGCTGAAACCATGACACTAGTAAATCAAGTGAAAATACAAATTTACTTGTTTCAAAAAAAAAATCAGCTTACCTTCTTATTTGACTACCAATTAATATCCAGAATTTATGTGTGTGGGTTGTTGTTTTTAACAGAAGAGTGGCCCTGCTTTGTGGTGTGGAACTGTCCAAGAACAGGTTGCTACAATAGAGGGAGGAAACGAGGAATGTCATCTTGGTTTTGGGGTTGTTTTTTTTTTTGAGAGGTGTTGCTGTCTAAAACACTATTGTACCATTTGTAATGTACAGTAATGCTATATTTTAAAATTGCCACTAAACCACCGCCTGCTGTCACTGCAGAAAAGCACCACACAAAGCAAAGGCAACTCCTAAAAATGTCTCTTGAAAGGCAGAACTGTGTTTGAGCAAGAAAAATACAACTCTCCACAATTTTATCTGTCCCCCAAAAAAATCTATTTGCTGCTTTTAGTTTTACAGGAACCTAACATTTTTATAATAACAATGAAGCGCAGAAGGCACAAGATGATGTTTCAAAATATAATATTAGAAGTTTCAAGCCATCAAGAGGAAATGGAGATGTGTGTAGAGTCATAACAAGAGCAAAATCCAGTAGGCAGTGGTAGAGAAAGTGAATGTAGCTGTAGAAAGGGCTAGGGAAAAAATAGATTAAATAAAGGGAAATGTGAAGGAAATAAATGGCAGCTGATTATTTCATCAGTGGTTTAGGGTGCCTTCCTTCTTGATGAATATTTTTGTGATCTTAATCATCCCCCAATTTATTCACTATTTTGAACTATTCAGCGAAATGCCTACAAAATATTTCTGTCTCTAGACAGAAGGCTACTGATTCTATGAGAGGGCGTCCTGATACTGCAAGCATTTGTGCAGAAGCTTATCCTGGCAAAACAGCTCAAGAATATGCAAAATTAATTGTCTTCCTAATCCTTTTCAGGTCAGAGGTAAATCAGATGGTCAGCTTGTCCTCAAGCTGGTGATTCCGTTTCTGAATTGAAAGAGCCTTTGGTAAAAATATTTTCCATTGCTGGCATATTTGTTTTTTTAAGAACTCTTATGCAAACCATTCTGGAATTCATTTTACTGAAGTCCCCTTCAGACTAGGGGCCATGAGAAGTAAACAAAAGGTAATGTGTACTTAAACAATTCCTTAAAAAAATCACAACTTGTTTATGGAAAAATGCTTGCTGTGTTTATCCATTTCTTTGTTGCAAGGCTGGGAAGACGAGCACAGAGAGGCACAGTTGGAGGCATGACCCTGGAGCAAATTGTGGCTATGACTGGGCAGGATCTAGTTGCATGTAAGTGAGAAGTGTGTGAATTTGGAAGATTAGCGTTTGCACGCGCGACAGGTTTGGCGCTGTTGTACCAGGGAGTAAATTTGCCACTAATGAGGCACAGATAAACATGTCAAGCGACTCCAGGGCATGGTTATAAAATCAGGCAGTTTGATTTACCATGCACTAATGGCATTCTCTTGTCTGAATACGGAAAGATTCATATGGTTGCACTTCTTCTGAAGTTCAGAAAAGATGGTTTAGAAACATTTAGATCCATTTTTGTCCTACGCTTCCTGTTATCATTCATACTGCCTGAAACAAGTATAAAATGGCTCTATTCTGCAACACTTTATATTCATTTTCATCCTGATCTGCATGATATGAATGACAGGGGAACCAGTGAATCAAGCCATCAGTTTGTCTTTTGATGTAATAGACAAGTCAAATTACTTGTGGGGAAAATGAACACCTTGAAATTTTGCCACAATATTTACAAAGCAAATGCTAGTCTAATGATAGTTTTATGTTTATTCTCTCAGAATTTATAACTTTTTTCTTTTCTTCACTGAGATGCTGCTTCATCATTTTGAATGCTAACTTCTTAATTTCAATAACTTCCCTTGCTTTACTGTTTAGCCATGCGGACAGGCTGAGAGAGTTGGGATTGTTCAGCCTGGAGAAGAGAAGGCTCTGGGGAGACCTTATTGCATCCTTTCAGTACCCAAAGGGGGCCTACAGGAGAGCTGGGGAAGGACTTTTTACTAGGGCATGGAGTGACAGGATGAGGGGGAATGGCTTCAGACTGGATGAAGGTAGATTTAGATTAGATATCAGGAAGAAATTTTTCACTTTAAGGGTGGTGAGACACCAGCACAGGCTGCCCAGAGAAGCTGTGGATGCCCCATCCCTGGAGGTGTCCAAGGCCAGGCTGGATGGGGCTTTGAGCAACCTGGTCTGGTGGGAGGTGTCCCTGCCCATGGCAGGGGCATTGGAACTCGATTTTCAGGTTTCATTCCAACCTAAACCATTCTGTGATTCTATGATTTCCTTTTGCCTGTTCCCAAGGGATTTCCAGCAAGTGGTATACACTGGTGATGTGCTCCCAGTGTGGTGTCCTTCAGGGGTCTCTGTGCTGCCTGTGAGGATTCAGATCTCTTAGTCATTCTTCTTCGACTTCTTTTAGACAAGATTCCTCATTTTTACATAGCTCTCCTTTCTGAAGGTCATCATGGCCATGGTGATGCTTTTGGCCCTGTTATTCTTGTGTGCTTCCTGAATCTAAAAATATTATGGTCACTATTATAAGCAGTCACTTCTGCCAAAATAACTGTTATTTTGGTCTAAAATCTGATCAAAATGTGTGTTTGGTAATGTACTCTTGTTCTGCCTCTCTGAACAGGCCTTCCCAACACCACCTAGCTTTCCTGTATTGTCTCTTGTCTAGACCATCATGTTTCACCGCCTCACATCATTCCATGAAAGTTTAAATACAAGCCTGGCAAGCTGCTACTTTCAACTTGCCGAAGAGAGGATTATAAAATAGTAATGGGTCACAGACTAATTTTTAATTCACACATCCCACCCCAAAGAGTTAAAAAAATCACAGGACTTAAACATAAACTTCAAAGCAAAAGGGAAAAAAAAAATCATGGTTTTGGAGGGTGAAAGTTTCTAATCAGTCTTTGGTTTCTTGATTTTCATAGCATACACATCAAAGTTCAATTCTGAATGTGCATTTGCACACAAAAATGGGCACTTCTTTAGTTCCTCTCTGTTATTTCAAATGGTGATACCAGTGTTGGACACAGGTGGTATAGGAGAGGTATAGGAGAAAAAGTGCTTGCCTGTCTTCCACGGCTCTTCTTATGTGCCAGACATACTCAAGGTCACCCTCAGAAATGAGCCTGCAGCATTCTGCTGTAGGCTAAACCTTTTGCTGTTCTATCATGGCAACAAAATGCAGGCAAGTATGAAAGTGAACGTATTCTGAGTGAGAGGAGACAATGCCGTGGGTCGGAGTACTCAGTGACAATAAAATGGTTATCTGAACAGCAGGGGCTGACAACATGTCAGGTTGCATCCAGAGAGACCTGCTCTCCTTGGCGAACCAAGTGCCACAGTTTTAGCACCAAGGTTCCACTATTTATCAAAAATTATCTTGTCACGCATCATCTCTAAAAGGTTATAATACAGGCCTTGAGTAGTTTAACTGTTGGTAAACTGAACTGAGGATTGAAAGCTGCTGACACATTGAATTGGACACATGCCGTGCTTCCTGGCGAAATAGCTCCATTAGCAAAGGGTAATATTTTTACATTTTTTTAGCATGGAAGACACAGAATGCTTATCTACAAAAGCAGTGAAACTGATTTCATGACTGCATTGTTTATGTCATTTGAGAATGAGATGTGACAGCTCTGTGTCTTGTCTTAGACCTCTCTTGCCACCACATGTATTTCAGGTCCTTGCTAAACAGCACCTTCATACGTTGGCATTTTCTGTCCACTGAATGGTTTGAAGTGAATTTTGCAGTAGTGTTGAATTACTGACCTTTATTATCAATGATAGGTATAACTGAAGCAAAAATTCAATAAATGGTGTCTGGTTTAAATTTCCTTTTCCTCCCATATTGTCAGGAGCATATTTAGTGGTCAGGCTGTCGTGGGCTTGTTCATGCCTGGTAGCCAGAAATATACATATATATGATATACATATACATACGTAAGAGTAAAAACATACATATATATGATAGGTTACAAGACACTGGAG